GCCTCCCAAGTAGCTGGGACTATAGGCACCCGCCACAATGCCTGGCTATTTTTGGGTGAAGCCGTCATTGTTGTTTGGCAGCTCCAGGCTTGATTCGAACCCGCCAGCTCAGGTAAATGTGACTGGCTCCTTAGCCACTTGAGCCACAGGCACTGAGCCTGAGTATTGCAATTTTCATACAGTTTTTCCTTTCTTAAAATGTGTTTATGTGTTTTTGACACCCTTTATATTTATTTTAGAACAATGATTTAGGAGGTAAGAAAGTATCAAGGACAAAGAGGAAGACCATATAATAATTCAAACAAGAGATGATTGGACCTGAACTTGGGTTACAGCAGTTATTATGGAGAGGAGAGGAGGGCTGCACATGATACTTGGAGATGGAATTAATATGATTTGGTGCAACCCTCAGGACCAATCAGGTTCATCCTTGCCAAATACATGCTAGATAAGAGGGAATTCTATCCCATAGTCTATCTTGTAGCAGTTTCAAAAAAGGTGATTTACAAATAAGTAGAAGAGAGGCAAGTAGGACAGGAGCCCCCCAAGTTTTTAAATAACGTAACCTGGAGGGAGGCTTGGAGGCATCAGGAACAGTCCGAGTTTTTAAAGGCTTCATTGTCCTGTCCCACTGGGTCAGGATGGCACTTCGGGCTCCATCCCACATTCCAGGGCCTGTGAGGCGGTACTGGTATGGGGTGCATGGTCCAAAGAAAACTTCCCAAGCTAGTCTGGGATCCTTGAGGAACAGAATTGGGATGTTGGGCTTCGCGCCTACACGTGCAGCGAGCTCATCCATGTAGGGAATGTAGTCGAGTTTGTCTTCACAGGTGTTTTTGATCACACCCCTGTGAGGGAGACAAGGATGACTCTTTATTACTTACCCCTTCCCTGCCATTACTGAGTGTCCATTAACAGAGACAGAGTGACCCATTTCCAAGGCACATGGCGGAGGGAGGAGGGGCAAGAGTTCAGTTTTAGGCATACTCAATTTGAGATTCCTTTTAATATCTAAGTGGACCTATCTAGAAAGAGTTGGATTTGGGCAAAGATTAGGGTTAGAGACACAGGTTTTTGAGTGTATATGGTATTTAAAGCCCCAACCCTGGATGAGGCCACCTAGGAATGGGTATGAACAGAAGTGAGAAGAGGTTTCAAGACTAAGTTTGGAACTCACTGAGTTTTAGAAGTGAGGAAGAGGAGGCACCAGCAAATACAGAGAAAGAGCAATCTCAGAGGAGAGGAGAGAATGAACAGAGAATGGATTTTGAGGGTCATGTGAAGACCCCAGATTGCCACCTGAGGGGTGGGGCAGGCTCTGTGTTCCACCAGGAAGACCCATGTCCTCATGTGATGCGTCTAAGGCCAAATGTGTAGTGACAGTGTTTGGATGAAGAACATATTCTTCCGACTCCTAAAGCAGAGTTACTGCCAACCTGCCACACTGCTTCCCTCGGAATGGATTTTATACTTTGCATCCTCTTTCCCCCCGGCAACAGAATATATTGTAAGTTTTCCCTACAGCAAGCTATATTTCGTACCTTTTAATGAGCTGTTCTTTTTCGGTAGCCTCAGCCATCAATTTTTGGGAAGGAGGTATCTTACAGAGCCCTATGAGAAAAATCAGAAACAACTCTAAAGTCATGTGTGGCTCTTCTTTTAAGTTCTTCTCCCTGATTTCTAGCCTCCCTTCATAGCATCTGAGAGTCAAAAGCTCAGAATGGAATTGAAGGCCAGAGGATAATGTTCTGGAATTCAAATCCTCCTCCCAACTCACTCAACCAGGGTCCTCTACTGCCAGAGTTGTAAGGGAAGACGCCTCCGTGGCTCAGCCCTCAGCCTGTGCCTTGCTCCCCAGGCACCTGCACCTGCGTCAGCTGCTCTGCCCCATCCCTCCTTGTCCATGTGCACTGTCTCTCTTTCTGTCTGTCTGTCTATCCAGTCAATGTACATACTTTTGTGCATGTGTGTGTGAGAAAATTATTAGTTGGTTAAATGTAAACACACAAAGGACCCTATTTATAACCCTGCTTTGGTACATCTTCATGGTTGGCCCTATTGTGATTACTGTTCATATTTAAAATAATACAATTATAATTTTTAAAAATGCTTACTGATACAAACCTTGTCCTACTTTCCAGAGGTACGGTAGCAATAAGAATATAAGAGCAACAGCCATCACTTAATGTGCATTTACTGTGTGTCCAGTGCTGTGCTGCCTGATTTGCGGACGTTATGCATTTCACAAAGTTCCTCAGAATGGGTTTATTATCCCCAGTTTACAAATGAAGGGGTTGAGATTTAGACAGGTTCTTACAAAGGTGAGACTGGAGTCTGGCAACTCTGACTCCAGCATCAATGCTCTTACCACATAATTGACAACAAGTAGTTTCCAGTGTCTAAAATATCTTTTATGGGTGTTTCTTAAAGGTTACTATTACTTCAGATCTCAGTTTTATTCACATTGTGCATTATTCCAACATTTTTCTTTGGAAACAATATAAAGTTATATTTCTTTTTTTTTTTTTTT